CGATGACGCTCTTACTGATAACGATGCTGAAGATATCATCATCGTTCGAGGTATCACAAGTGAGAAAGTAAAGTTCTCGCTGAATATGTAACCGATATCTCTGCAGTGCACTCACAATGCACTGCAGCCAAAAGCAACGGGTCAGCTGAGGATTTCCTGCTGACTCGTGAAGCGGTAGTCCGTTTCGTGCAAGACTCCATCGCAGAAGCGGTGTACAAGCAAAAGCGAAACGCAGACAATGATGGAAGGGCAAATGCTCAAACATATATTGAAGGTGATTTAGTTTTACTGTCAACAGTAAACCTACCTAAACATGTAGTGACTAACGTAAACAGAAACAAATTGTTGCCCAAGTACATCGGCCCGTTTCGTGTATTGCACCGCCTAGGCAGCGCATACGCGATCGAGTTGTCACGCAGGATGCGTACGCATCCTACGTTTTACGTGGGACGTCTTCGTCCTTACGTTCAGTACGCGGCTTCTTCGAACGACAAAGATAGCCATTACTCTCAAGAATCCCTTTCAGATTCTTGTCGTCACGAACCAGTTTGATACCTGGTAGTGTAGAGATGAGATTTTCCCATGATATTGGACGATCTCCTGACAAGCTGTCGCCAGCTCGTTACTTAGCAAATGAAGCTGCCGTTCATTCTCCAATAGTGTGACAGCATTGTTTTCCCGAGACTTCTCATGGTCAAACCCAAGCTGTCGCACAATGTCCTCTAAGCGGCGACGCTTATCCCGTTCGTGATCAACATCACAACGGAGCTCACGAGTTACACGGGCAAACCCGTCTAACTCAGCTGCCAAGTCCGATGAAAGATTCGGACAGGGTTTTCCCTCCACCACCGCATCCGCTGGTGGACTCCCATGGTGGGAAGCGCTTCCTCGTGGAACGCTTACTAAAGCACCGCGAGGTGAAGGGACGTCGGACGAGTTATCTCGTCCGGTGGCGTGTGTGGTGAAGTGCCAGGAGAATCGGGGCCCAGGCTACCAAGGCCCCAGGGTATTAGGGTACATGGGTCCCAGGGTACAAGGGCCCAGGCCTCGCAAGGTTCTAAGGTTCAATCGAGGGTCACCAGGGAGTCACCAGGGACCGGACGTCTCGTCCGAGCGCACTACCCTTGCGCGACTCGACCTCCACAGACTGCGCGAAGTGGGCGAGCTCCTCAGCTTGGTGCAAATGGTCGACCCGCGAGTTGTCGTACTTAGCCATGAGCACTGTGCTCAGGTCTGCTGACGCGTAGTGCACGATGTTGTCGAGCACCTGTTGGTCCGCACCGCCGCACGCGTGGCTGACGGCAACCAAGTACAGATAGTGCTCTGGCCAGCTTCGCTTTAAGTCTTTACGCGCCGTAAAGAGCTGTATCGACTGCGATGCCGTGATCTTGGTCTTGAAAAGTCTGCAGAAGCCTTTCCATGACGTGGTCTAGCGTCGGTAGTTGCGTCCACCACACCATAAACTGTTGTTGTAGTAGCGTTTTGCGGTACCGCTCAAGTAGTGTCCAAGCAAGTCTGCTTTGACGTCCTCAGACCAGGCAAAGCCGCATGCGTGCTGGGCCATCGTTACCTGTAGGAGAAATGTACGCCCCAAGTCAAGGAAGCCGGAGCCGAGCCCATGGTACAGCTCGCTTCCGTCGAGCTTCCTGATTGTCAGCTTCCGCTGACGCGCATCCGGCACTCGATGCGCAGGGCCCGCCGCCTGATGTTCTTGCTGCGGCGCCTGCTGCATTATAAAGCGCTGTCGCGGTTCCGGTGCGACGTATTGAGGCCCGAGCGGTTCGACGTGCGCTGCATGCGCTGGTGACGCTACTTGTCGCCTCTGTGGCGAGTTTCCAAGTGCGTCCAGGTGCAATGGGCCAGCGCTGCCCATGTTAAGATCGAGCAGAGAGGTAGAAAGTCCACTCTCGATAGCTCCTCTAAGTCGTTCGTTTTCGTTAATCTGCATCTGGGACGCCTCCATGCGCTCCATGCGGACTTCGAATCCCATCAGCATCTTGAGAATCCTCTCGTTTACGTCCGCGCCCTTTTCGTGGTTTGGCGGGTCAACGACCATGGCAGGAGCCGTCACGGCCCTTTCGTGACCGGTGTCTGGCGGCGCCTGTGCCGTGTCGGTGGCGTTGTCGATGTTATCGGCGCTTGGGCTTATAACCTGTTCGTGATACGTTAACTGTAATGGGGCACCCTCCGACTATACTGATTACAGTATAGTCTACTTTCACTGATGACAGTGAAAGCAGTTGCCTCAATTGC